GAAACTTTGTGAACTTAATCTACATGCATGTACGGGTACCTGTCCCCAAAATGGACACTTTTGCCCATGTGTTTCCCACATACGGGCCCGTGAGAATTTTCTGCGGGTAAGTTGCTAACTCGGGAACCAGTGAAGTTAGAAAGCTGTAATTTTAAGGGCATTTTTTCTGGCAGTCCTAGCAGTAATTCTCAAATCTTTTAGCTAGAACCAACTGCCGAAGAAAAAAACAGTGCCCGCTAGTGACAAAAACGTGCGGGTAACTGTGCAAAAAACGCATCTTCGCACCGGCTGTTGGCACGCTGGCCAACTATTTTTCCTGGACTCATAGCTGCTTTGCTCCAAATTTGTGAAATTAACTTCACTTTAGGCTTAAGGTTAAAGGTTAGGACATATTGATGTTTGGGGTGTGGTTCCACGATAATGATGTCAAACCGTTTGGCTAATTTATCATTGCGTTGGCTGATACTCAGTAGCATCAGTAACACGGGGTATCAGTACTGATTGCTCGGGCGCTTTTGACATTCTTGTTATAGGTGGATGTTGATTTTAGATCCAGCAAAAGCAGTGTTGGTGTAAGATGTTGTATATCACTTCATGTCTGAACTGCTTTTTTCTGCTTAAATTATGCATTGCTTTTCACTGGTATTTCAAATTTTCAAAATAAAGACACAAGCTCATTTGACTAAAGTAATCATCTATGCATTTAAGACTCAAGTCATTTACGAATACTAGCACTGATTTAATAGTTAATTGACGTGTTTTTTTCATACTTTTCAGGTTTAGTCATTCTTTCGGTGAAGCCACACATGCGTAGCGCTGTGTTCCAGGAAGTGGATGGCAGAATTTGGGCTGGCATCCCTCTTATCGTCTCACTTATGAGTGGCGTTGATTTAGCGACACTGGAAGAGGAGGTTTGTTTTTATCATTTCCTATTCTATGGCTTAATTTTTTATCAATTTCCGCACAGATCACGAAACTCATTATGGCATGGCCAAATCCGAATGCGTGTTTGTCTGTCTCTCTGCCTTTGTCTCCGGAACTGCGCGAGCATGGAATTTCAAATTTTATAATTCCCAT